AACAGAACCACGTACAAGTACCTGAAAGATATTCCGATTCCAAGAAGAGAGGCTGCGTCGTAAGTTAGCATTCATTGCTTATATAAACACACATGCTATAGTCACTCTTTTCCCTCCTCCAGAAGAGTACACTATCCCCAGTCAAAATCAACGTCTATTTCGAGGGATTGAACTGGCCTTGTGTCGCCGACTGTCCAAGCATACTAACTGCTGAAAAAATAATCATATACTTTCCAAAGGAAACATCATGGATGTAGATTATACTTGTACAATGGGAACTGGAAGGTTTGTAGTGAAAACAATATGTTGTTCAGGATACTCATGTTTTTATTTTATAGTTGCCAAAAGACATTCTGGTGGCGAACATGAAGCAATTGAATGTGAGGGATGCTGTGTGGCCAGATGTATAGCTTTCAAAACAATAACACATTATACTTATCTTTTATTATCTTCATGTTGTCTCGTCATTGTCATCTTCTTTTGTATTACAATTATCAGCTACAGTGTGACAATTTCTTTTTAACAATAATGTCAAAACTTGCTAAGTGTGCGGTGTTTTTGTTGCAAGCGGAAGGGACGCAACGCCCACACTACTATATATCCCGAAAGTTCCTAAGCCAAGCCTGAGTGGTGTATGTTCATCTGACCCTACGGATATGTAGGCTATCAACCAACAGGCATTATTTATCTGCTATCAGTTGATATGTCAAAACTTGCTAAGCGTGTGGTGCATGCAAGCAGTACTTTACTACGCGCGAGCAACGACCCACAACTACTATATATCTTCCCGAAGTACTAAAGCCAAGCCTGAGTGGTGCGCATCATTGACCCTCAGGGAATATGTAGGGCTATCACAACCAACAGCCTGTCTTTTATCCTATCAATGATAATGTCAAAACTTGCTAAGCGTGCGTGCAGCAGTACTGTTACTACGCGCGGAGGCAACGCCCTACAACTACTATATACTCCCCGAAGTACTAAAGCCAAGCCTGAGTGGTCCATCATTGACACTCAGGAATATGTAGGGCTATCAACCAACAGCATTATTCATTGATAATGTACAACTTGGTAGCTAAGTGTGCGGTGCAAGCGGTAGTTTTATTATATACGCGGAGGCAACGCCACAACTATACGACCGTATATACATCATATTTCACAAGTCCCCCTTAGGTCTAGGCCGAGGGGCAGCATCCTGTGGGTTGAATAGACTATAAATGTCCTAGCCATATCCCTAGCCCCAGTCCTGAGGGGGAATTACACTTAGAAATATTACTTCACTATAGCACTGCACCAGTTGGTAGTAACCCTAGGGGGTTCGGAGGGATAGTAAGCTATCCCTGAGGCTAAACCCAGGGTTCGGATGGATAGTAAGCTATCCCTGAGGCTAGCGCTAACACTTACCCAGGGTTCGGAAGGTTAGGAAGCTATCCCTGAGGCTAACGCTAGCACTTACCCAGGGTTCGGGAGGATAGTAAGCTATCCCTGAGGCTAACGCTAGCACTTACCCAGGGTTCGGACGGATAGTAAGCTATCCCTGTGGCTAACGCTAGCACTAACCCAAGGTTAGGAAGGATAGTTAGCTATCCCTGAGGGATAAAGAGGGCTATACCGAGGGTGCGGAAGGGTAGTAAGCTACCCTGCGGGCTTTGGGTATAAAAGAGAGAAGAGTTTGGGGATGATCCATCCAAGTGTTTCCTCGGAAATCCAGAGACCTCCAGAGAGTGCATCATCATCATCGTTCTACAGCCGACTTCATCCGACCCGAAGACTTGTTTATTATCGAGACCTCTCCTTCCCAACCCCCAAAGAACCTTCACATCCCCTGAACCTGAACCCATTCAACACCATGTGGAAGAACGTTTCCAAGTAAGTAATTATACAATGCTCTAACATACCCATTCACTCTTTTTTCTTCTCTAGACCTACTGTTCGTGTTCCAACCCACATCCTGATCTCCTTTGAAGGGAACACATTGGAATGTGCGACCCGCATCCCTGGGTCGTTGACAGCTTGGGATATCACCGACTACTATGAAGAGACCCAAGGAACTCCGTTGGAATTGTGGAACGGGAATGTGAAGGTGTGTAGTGCAAACGGACAATATCAATGCAAGTTATTCATGATACTCTTTTTTTATGTATAGTTGGAAAGTGACAGGAAAATTGGCCGAATGAAGAATCTGATCCTCAAGCGCCTCAACCCTACGACTCCTTCGAAGGAGGAAGGCGAAGCTCCCCCTCACCATCAACCATGCAGTCCTGGATCACGGAGTTGAACTTGAGGCCTGGAAGGAAGAAGAACCCATGGACCACCTTATCTTCATATTATTGTCATTATCTTCATAATTATTGTCTGTCATTGTCATCTTGGTATTACTTACTTGTAAATTATATCTATATACATTGTACAATTATTTCGTTTTAACTCAAACTTAACCATTTGTGCAAGCTCAAATTCACGTTTAAAAGGCTTAACCGATTTAACTACCCTAAGGGGCACCTACAAACAACCCCAGCTCGAAAGGCATCCTTCAATTCGTCGTCCCTATCATAAGGGAGATTTAAATATCCTAGGGGAGGGTAACCCAAATAAAGGAACCATAGGGGTATCTATAATTATCAATCCTTAGGGATAAAACCCTGCATTGAAGAAAGGCCATGGGATCAGGGTTTGCTTTAGTTTTTAGCTCTAATTTTCTGAGGGGTCCATCAGAGTATTCAGGAATTATTCTATTATTATATATATAATTATATAGCCATAATCCTGAGGGAGAAGTTTATTTGATAGGGTAGTAGACCCTTTCAGACTTACATTTTTTGCTGCAATCCTGGGGGATCGTTTAGTCGCGTTGTTTAGTTGCATTCCTTAGAGTAGTTTAGCATTAGATCTCCTGCAAAATGATATAAAGGATGAATAATGTAGTGGTGTGATGAGTGGTGTGATGTAATGGTGATGTATATACAATAATTTATCCTATTTTCTTATTAATCGTCTGTATTTATCTTGAATTTCTATCTTACTCCTTTTCTGTAGTATGTCTCGGTTCCTGTCGATTATCTCCTGGCAGGTCTTTCGTGAAGGGATTTCTTTTGTGGCGTGATGTTGATTTCATCCCTCAAGATCCGCTCCTCCTCCTGGGTCCACCGGTTCCTCTTCGAGTGGAGCTGCTGGGGCAATGTGTCCCCTCTCTTTCTGTGTAACTGCATGTGGTTCCACAGCCTTTTCACTTGTTTTCCACAGCCTGCTACGGGACATGCTGTCGTTTCTGGGTCAGGCCGTGGAAACAACACTCCTCCAGTGGAGTGCCAGGGGGTGTCGGTGGCATGCCTGCCTTGCTCCCAGAAAAAAACTGTTCAACTGTGTATCTGAAAATGTAAAACTGTTAGCCATACATGATACGAATAAACTGCATGTCTCATACCTGTGTACTGTCCCTGCGGCTTGTGGACCTGGAACAGATGGTTCCACATCTTTTTGATAATGTTGCTGCACCCAGGGACAGGACATGGCTTCGCGAAGGTAGAGGGGAGGGGAGTGGGTGATGGTTCCTCCAGTCCCAGGTCCTCCATTATGTCGGTGGTGGGTGGTTCTTGCGTGAAGGTGGGGAGGGGAGGGTCTGATGGTTCCTCCGCTGGTTCCTCCAGTCCCAGGTCCTCGGTGGTGGGTGGCATCCCTCCTCCTTCCTTGCTTTTCAGCAGGAATGCGGTCAGCTGAGCATCTGAAAATGTAAAACTGTTAGCCATACATGATACGAATAAACTGCATGTCTCATACCTGTGTACTGTCCCTGCGGCTTGTGGACCTGGAATAGATGGTTCCACATCTTTTTGATCATTGTCCTGCACCCAGGGACAGGACATGGCTTCGCGAAGGTAGAGGGGAGGGGAGTGGGTGTTAGTTCCTCCAGTCCCAGGTCCTCCATTATGTCGGTGGTGGGTGGTTCTTGCGTGAAGGTGGGTGATGGCGGGTCCGGGAATAGCTCGTCCAGCTCCCTCATGGCGTTATTCAAGGTAGAGGGGCTGGGGCCCCAGTCGTCTTCCGAGGCGTTTTAACAGCAGAAGTCGTATGCAAATACTTTGAAAGTATATAATGGAGTACATACGATTGTACAACAGGAACAGGAAGGTTGTAGTGAAAAACATATATGGATGCAAGTTGTTCAGGATACTCATGTTTTTATTTGTATAGTTTGGCACGAGACAGGCTGGTGGCGGAGATGACGGAGTTGAACTTGAGGCCTGTTGAGAAGGAAGAACAAACTCACCCTAAGGAAGAACAAATTCACCTTTTGGATACACGGATGATGGAGTTGAACTGGAGGCCTACTCACCCTGAAGAAGAACAAACTCACCATTTGGAGAAACTGAACTTGAGGCCTGTTGAGATAACACCCAGGAAGGAAGAAGAACCCATGGATGCAAAACCCAATAACTAACACCACCTCATCTTCATAGGAAGGTGGCCCACCTATCTGACGATCTCAAGGCATTCTCTAAAGATTTCCCGACTACCCTGGGGGTCGTGAATATGACAACAACACAGATGTGGAAGCTCACCTCGACGCAGGTGGCAGCAGAGGGTGCAACAGACGCCACAATAAGAACAGTGGCCACCCACATGACGCATGGGGCCGACACCGCCAGAAAATACTACCAGCACCTGGAAGGTGTCAGCCAAAGTGTGGCGGCCTTTGGTGAGATATCAAGAAAGCGGTCGGCAGACCCTGCGGAAAACGACGAGTTGATCGTCCCAAAATTGAAGAAGAGAAAGATGTGGCTGAAAGAAGAAGAGCAGGAGATACGAGAAAAAATCGACATGGGGAAGACGCCGACACTGGAACAATGCCAGGCCTTCCTGAGTGCAAATACAAACGCCAAACTCTTTTCTGAGAGGACTGCAAAAGAACTTCAGGACAAATGTCGGACCATAAATCGACAGACACAAAAGAACGAATGATATTTCATGCATTCTTACACTGTACAATTATTTCTTTTTAAACTCAAACTCAAACTTAACCGCCAGCGCGATAACTTACCATAAGGGACACCTTCAAACAACCCCAACTTGAAAGGCACCCTTAAGGAAGAATCAAAGTATAATTCACCCTTACACCTCGGGGTAGGGCTATAAGGTTAAGGGATGAAGACTAGGGTCTAGGGCTAGTACTAGGGATAGGGCTAGGATATAGGATAGGTACCTCTAGGGTAGGGCCTAGGGATAAGGGATGAAGATTAGGGTCTAGGGCTAGTGATAGGGAAGTAGCTAATATTTCAAAGTATAATCCTGGAACAATGGCAGGCCTTCCTGAGTGCAAATACAAATGCCAAACTCTTTTCTGAGAGGACTGCAAAAGAACTTCAGGACAAATGTCGGACCATAAACCGACAGACACAAAAGAACACATAATATTTCGTGCATTCTTATCAGGGCATAATTGTCCAAATTTTATGAAAAATTATAACTTCAGTAGTGTATGTGCAGCGGAAAAAGAAGGGGCTATGCACAGCTCTTCAAAAGGCGATTCTGACGATATATTATGTTGATGACGTTGAGAGACGTAAACCGTTATACGCGTATACCCGAGGAAATTTTGCGTAGAGTCCGCGTATGGCGTACGTTACGTCACGTAATAAGAAATTTTTACCGGTGAAGCGTGAAATATTTTATAAGGTGTGGGAGTGACCGCGCACATTTCGTTCGCGATCGATCGCGATCGAACGCGCGCGCAGAGCGGCGGTCTTGACGCCACACGCGCATGCGCAATAGATCCAGCTGGCCTGGCCTGTCGGGCCGGCCGGGGCGACTTGCATAAAAAGGGTTCTCGTGAACGCGCCAACTCGCTAGCGAGCTGGCTCCGTTGCCATTTGGTTGTGTTCTTCCGCTTGGAACGAGTTTACTCTACGATCAGCACCTGTTGGAGATCGTCTGTTAGAGATCGTCTGTTGCAGAGGCTTGCCTAACTCTCGTCTCAAGGAGGAAACCGGCGGTAAGTTGTTTTTGCACGTAGTATTTTGTTCCGTTTTTTTGCAGGTTTATAAAGATGCCGCCGAGGAGAAGAAGACAGCGGGCTGGTGCGATGAACTACCGGAAGCGCAAGGATGTTACGGTTGCGAGGGGCGATGGTGGGTCAGGAGCTGTGGAAGGAAGGGTCGAAGGGAGTGAGGCCCACGGCAGGTTGGAAACTGAGGAACGGGGGGTCGAAGAGAGGTCGGAGGAGGTGAGGGATGATGGCGGGTCCGGAACGCTGGAAGTCAGGGTGCAAGGGAGGGAGGAGGGGAGGGATGACGGCGGGTCAGGAACAGTGGAAGTCAGGGTGCAAGGGAGGGAGGAGGGGAGGGATGACGGCGGGTCAGGAACAGTGGAAGAGAGGGTCGAAGAGAGTGAGGAAGCAGAATGCGGACCGTCATCAAGTTCATTACGCAGCAGCGAGGAAGCACCAGCAGCCACCAAGCGACGAAGGCTCTCTGAAATCACTGCCATGGGCGATGAACCACTTCAGGCTTGGCTTGATAGTCTTCCCCGGGAGGACTTGCAGCACATGGCGCTGCTTCTGTATACAAGGCTTCCCACTATTTTTGGTCTCAAGAAAACCGACACAGCTACTGCTGTTGGAGAGATTCTCCAGAAGAATGAACGCACCATCAGACGTTGGGTTGATGACTTTGCATCGAACAGTGGAGATTTTTCAGACTCGCAACAAGGCCACTACACTAGAAACAACACGCTCATATCGAACGAGGAAATCAGCGAGAGGGCAAAAGTCTACGTACGGGAAAATGCTGCTCCAAAAGGTAGACCCAACCTCACAGCCACAGCCTTCTGTCAGTGGGTGAACAACGAACTACTACCAAACTCCACCCTTGAGCCAGGCTACCCCCGCAGAGTGTCTGTGGAAACAGCACGAAAGTGGCTCCATGATCTTGGGTTTGATGTTCTTCACATGTCAAAGGGTGTGTTCATTGATGGCCACGAACGCCCTGATGTCGTGGAGTCAAGGGAGAAATTTCTGAGAACAATGACGGAATGTGGGTTTCTCCGTCCCGACAATGCTCCCACCCAGGAAGCTGCCCGAGCACTGGCAGCCGACGTCCCACACGTGTCAAAGGAAGAGAGAGAGAAACGCATTGTGTGGTTCCATGACGAGAGTGCCTACAACACAACCGAAGACACGCCAATGCTGTGGGGGGAGAAGGGAAAATTGCCTATCAAGCCAAAGGGAAAAGGCTCCTCCATCATGGTTTCAGAGTTCATCGAGGAGAAAGACGGCTACTTGGCACTCTCTGACGAGCAGTATGAATTTGAGGTGACAAACAGTGGTGGTGGCATCAAGAAGTCTGCCCTTGCACTCCTGGAGATTGGTGAGAACCGTGAGGGGTATTGGACTGGTCAACGTTTCGTGGAGCAGGTTACCAAGGCTGTGAAAATCGCTGAAGTCAAGTATCCAACATCACAGGGATACCACCACATCTGGTGCTTTGACCACAGCTGCAACCACACTGCTTTTGCGGATGATGCTCTGATTGCTTCCAAGATGAACAAAGGCCCCAGGGGAAAACAGCCGAAGATGAGAGACACAGTCTGGAATGGACAACCACAGACAATGAATCTGCCTGACGGACGACCAAAGGGAGCGGCCCTTGTTCTCGAGGAGAGGGGTTACAACACGAGAGGAATGAAGCTGGAAGACATGCGAGCAATTCTAGCTGACCATGACGACTTCAAGAATGAGAAATGTCGTGTTGGCAGATTTCTAAGCAACATAGGTCACACATGTGTTTTTATCCCGAAGTTTCACTGCGAGCTCAACCCAATCGAGCGTGTTTGGGCTCAGAGCAAGCGCTACACAAGGGCCTACTGCGACTACACCATTGGCTCCCTTCGACGAAGCATTCCTCTGGGGCTAAAGAGCGTTTCGAAGGAGAACATTGCGAACTATGTGCGTCGTTGCAGAAACTATATGTTTGCATACCTGGAGGGATCAGCAGTCGGACAGGAACTAGAGGAGAAGATCAAATTCTACAAATCAGCAAGCTACACGTCACACAGGAGGGTTGGTATCAATATCTGATTACATTTTCACAGATATTGATGGAAAATTTCACAGAAGAACATTGCGAACAATGTGCGTTGTTGCAGGAACTAGGCATATGTGGAGGGATTAACTGTTGCCTGTTGAACAGTATTGTGCTGTTGGTGAAGTTAGGTGGGACAGGGGAGGGAGTTTCACCAACACAAAGCCACAGTAAGTTTCTCTATACTGCACATATTGCTAGAGGGAGTTTAGATAACACTGAACCACAATTGAGTTTGTTAGTCAGGGAGCCAATACACACTGCGGCCCACCCAATGTGCAATGGACAAATTTTTTTATGTATTCAGGTTGTTGGTGCAAGAGTTAAGTGGAACAGGGGAGGGAGTTAGGATAACATTACATCACAGTAAGTTCTCTTAAACAAGCTTATAGTATAATTATATTGTGTGTGTATTATAAATATGTCATCATGCCATAATGGCTTGATATAGTTATGTGTGACCTGTGCATGAATTTGGCCAATTTTAAAGAAGTATATAAGACAGCCCAGCATCTTAGATGTGGTTGGTGCTCTCTGTTCTTGACACAAACTTGTGCACAGGTTCCGTGAATATTTTCCGAATATAATATTATGCCTATATTGTTTTTTTATGGGTGTATGTTGCTGTGTAGGGTATATAGACTTGGGCTTGAATGGTGTGTTTGTCAAAAACGGCGACAGGTATATATATAGCTCTGTCTTGCTTCACGAAAGGAAAGCTGTGCGCTGACGGCACGTTATGCAGCCCGAACATCGTGGACAAATCCCAAGTTGGGTCGTTCCCGCTTGTCAACAACGTTCAACATTCTTCTAGTGTATAATAACCACCCAACTTGGACCAGCTGTGTGTATGCTTGCAACCCTGTGTCTGCAATAGCTGTGGCCTACTCTGGTGGACAATACCATACATTGTCATCTTTATTGAGCCTGCCCACTTTTTACAGATTGTTGTGCAGTGGGTTGAAGGAGTTAAGTGGAACAGGGGAGGGAGTTAGGATAACATTATGTCACAGTAAGTTCTCTTAAACAAGCTTACCATATATACTGTATGTCATCATACCATAAGTAATATAAGTTATAGCACGTCTAGGAGGTATATATATATAATGTTGTGCGTTTATTCCGCCCAAGCGGGAGGGTGGAATAAACAGCAACATACCGACTAAGCATGCCATAATTGATTGATTGCCGATGATGACGTCAAACGTAGCAATTGCCATAGTAACGTGATGTCACAAAGTCAATAAACTAAAATGGCAAACAAAACAGGGAAAAAGTGCTGCTTATTTCCTGCTTTGAGACTGCGGGCAAATGCTGGAATAGCTTTTTCAGACATGGAGGTATATAGTCTTTGTTGCCGCAGAAGTGCTGGAAAGGGCCAACTACAACTCTTTACACAGTGCCAAGTTCCACGTAAGCTGCTTCGGGTGTGGTGTGGCTAGGAGAGCATGGGACTATTACTGGACAACGAGAAGAAATTTGACAGTGCCAGATGTTTGTATTTTAAATCGCCAAGGTTGTGCAGTTCGAAGGTTGTCATTTCCACAAGCTATATTCGTAGGTCACCGTAGCTTGTATTTGAGGCAAAGACTAAGTGAGCCTGAAAGTCAGAAAATTTGATGTGGAAAAATTTTTTCCCAGTCTAAATTGTCCTTTCCAATCAACACCTATTATTGACACCTGCAACATCTCCCTGCTCACTAACCACAGTCCTTTTGGCTATTTATTTTGCAGAATAAACTTAGCAACACCTTCAACCTTTGTAAAGATTGTCTTAGTATGGGGAAGATCCATGTAAAACTTCAAGCACCTGCTCGTTCATCTCTATAAGTTATCCTGACGTCAGCTTAAAAGTCACTGACACATTTTTCTGAGCTTTTGCTGTTTGTGGAGCGCGCTAATGATGTTGGCAATTAGACCTTTTATTTCGGGGCTAATTCAACTGAAAATGAAACGCCTTATTACATAAGTGTAATCTGCATTCTTGCACGCCATGTAGATTTGGTCGCTATATGTTTTCCTTTTGGATACCATCTGCATTGATCCAGATATCTGCCCAGCATTTTAGCAGACCTTGTTGATCCAGATTTTTTTTAACCGTGGGTAATGTAACCTTTCAGTCACATGATTACCTTGTAAAGTGCTCATGCATGCTCAGAACAGGTCGAAATGTGAGCTTAAGATGTAATATGATCACAGTAAAATAGAGGGTAATACAATTTTCTTCCCCACTTTGGTGGTTGGGTTCGTCGGTCGAGGTCGAGGGCTCTCGCCGGGCCAATCATCACGCCGCAACACCAAACAAAGAAGCAACACACCCGAGAAATAAAAGACACTTTGTTAACTTTGTCCAGGCCCGTCATAAAAGCCTCATCCCTTGGCATTAATTTATATACAATGCTGTTTGGCTTGCCCGAGGAGCAACTTTATGTTGGGGCTCGGCGCCATTGGGCTCACTTGTATATATTATAGTAGGCTTGCATTTTACTGGAAATATAGACCTCTTATATACGCGGTATATAACAGATTGAAGTATAATATATAAACATGTTCAGCCTTCCCATCAACCTTTTCCCCTCCCCAAATACTCAATTACGGTAAGACAGACTTTCTCACTTCTTCTATCGGAGCTAATGGCCTCGCTTGGGGGAGGCGAGCTGTGGTGTGGTTCGAACAGCCGCCCGTCATGCTGACCGCCCTGGACGTTCTCATCTTGCGTTTTATGTATGACAGTCACGCTTAGGAATGCAATATTATTCCGCGCGCTACACGCAAACATACGCATACGCATCACGTGTGTTAGTGCAATGCTTACGAATGTGAGGCCTTCACTGTGTATATGTATCCCTTGTATATACATTAACCGAAATGCTTTTAATAGACGTGAGACCGCTCCCATAACCACACAGCGTATGTCCCCACAAGCCTTGGTTTTCATACTGTGCGTGCGTGTTGCAGTCTTCATACACAACTTGAATGCTGCAACAGTTCTAATAGGGAGTATGCATTACTCTTGAGAAGTTACGTTTTCAATGTGAACTCAAGACGTAATACTGTCAATGAGTGAAGGGTTTGTTATTGTTAGTGAAGTTCGACCTCCGCGGCTATTTCATGCAAGTTGCTGCAGTGATGTGACGATTTTGAGGTGTATCTGACTGCCCTCAGCTTTTGATGGAGGTGGGCGTTTGATCTCCATGCCTGTATACACTGCACTTTGCAGTCTTCATACACAACTTTGATGCTGCAGTAGTTCATTGCTAATAGGGAGTGCATTCTTGCATCATAGATAATAAAGACACGTGACTGTTATCTATACAAAGGCGGTCGGCAATTGTAATTTTTTATGTGGCTGCAAGTGTTCACTCCGTGCATGTAGTACGGGGTGAACATCCAGTATACACTGACTTATGATGTTTTACATGGCCCACAGCAGTTGGGTAAAGTAACACCCATCCTTCAGGGTAACTTTAAGCACTCCGTTGACACATAAATTAACGTGTCCATGGTGGAGGAAAGAGAGGTTCGCCCACTGGCACTGACAGTGACTTGTGCTTCCCAGACACACAGGGCGTTTCTGGCCACCTGGTAGAGACCAAACTCCTCCGACCCCTGAAACTCACTGGAGACTGTCTTGAAAGATTTTTTCTACAATGTCGCAACCAACAAACTCAAGCCACTGATTATGGGTAGTTGGACAGCTTAAGAAGGCGGTAACAATACTTTGCACGGAACCTATTTTCCTAACACGAAATGTGAGCTAGAAACGTAATTAATAATGTGAACGAGTAATGAGTGAGGGATTTGAGTTTTTATTAGTGAACTTGGACCTCCACGGCTATTGTATATACTGCAGTGATGTGACGACGACTTTGAGGTGTATGTAACTGCCCTCAGCTTTTGACAAATGTGGGCATGTGATCTCCATGCCTCACGATTGCGTCCGCTTGTTCTCGGCCAATGGTGCCGAGCTCCAGCACAAAGTTGAACAGTTGTTCCCCGGGCATGCTGAACAGCATCGTAAAGAAGCCGGTGAAGGTCTCTGAAGTCTTGTACGACCCAAAACCACTCATGCCCACATTTTCAAACGAGTTTGCCTAGATTGTGTGTTTGGGCAATGGCTCTTGTCATCGCCCCAAGGATCCCGTCGTCTCCAATGTAGCTGCAGTTGACGAGTCTCAGCTCTGTGAGGTAGGGGCTCTCCAGAACTGTGGAGATGGCCGACTAGCAGTGGTGGCCGCCGAGAAATGTGACACAGGCCGAGTCGACAGAACGGCAGAACGGGCGAAAAGGTCGAGGGCCTCACGTGTGGCGTCAAACTTGGAAGTTTGGTTGCTCTCTTCCTCGGGGAAGTTGAACTGCAGATCAAGTCTCTTGAGTTGTAGTCCGGGGTAGTCTGCCAGCCAGCCAAGAGGAAAGAGAGGTTCGCCCACTGGCACTGGCGGGTCCAGAACGCTGGAAGTCAGGGTGCAAGGGAGGGAGGAGGGGAGGGATGACGGCGGGTCAGGAACAGTGGAAGAGAGGGTCGAAGAGAGTGAGGAAGCAGAATGCGGACCGCCATCAAGTTCATTACGCAGCAGCGAGGAAGCACCAGCAGCCACCAAGCGACGAAGGCTCTCTGAAATCACTGCCATGGGCTACACAAGGGCCTACTGCGACTACACCATTGGCTCTCTTCAGCCCAAGAGGAATCCCCGAGTGGTGGATGCCTGGAGTGAATATATGACTTTTTATACAGCTAGTTGGGGTCCCTTAGCAAATGATATACAGTGGGTCCCGGTTAATAAAATCCAAAAAATATGATAATATGAGGGAGCGTGTACCATGTATACCAATGTATAATTATTGTGAACTAGATAGCGCACAATGCAGTTTGTTTAGCTAAGCCTAGCTGTTTACATAAGCTAGTGGAGAATGCAAAACTCCAGCCCAAAGTTGTAGAATGCCTAATTACCCATGCACAATAATGACAATATGCTGGGAAAAAAACAAAATTGCTCAATATTTCTATGATAATAGGTGGGATATGACATTATCCGTATTCTCTGTATTATATAAAACGAAGTAAAATGTATGGGAAAGCATAGGAAATGGTTTTGGATTTCAGGTTTGTAAGATTATAAACGGGATATTCTATTAAACAGTATGATATTAAGTGGGACCCACTGTATTATATTACCTAACTGTATTATGTTTTGGAAAATGTTTAATTGTCCACAGGTTGTTGCACAGCTGGTGAAAGCAGTTAAGTGGACAGGGGACGAGTGGTCATTCAACCAATATGCAAGACTGTCAGCAACCTCTCCTTATATACACAAACTTGGGACTGAGGATAACACCCAACACAATCGTTTTAACTATTGTATAATCCATAGCTGACTTTGGTGGAGAAGCATGGTTGAAGTATATATAATCCTGCTGCGCATGTGGAGAGCTAATGTCACTCAGGACACATAGGCACAAAAACTTTTGACTCAATCATGTGAAATTGGTGGACTCGTTCAAAAGTAATAATGGTAGGCTTATAATGTATAGAAGGGTAATGAGGTTGACTCTGGTTCGACTTGGTGGTGGTTGGTGGTGGAGAGACTCACTTACTCAGTTTATAGTGGACAAGAACCGCTGCAGCAGAAGAATTGTGTTCATGAGTCCATCATTCAAGCTTGCTGCAGGCTTCCCCACCCAGATCTTTACTGTATGGATATCTTTCGAGCTGATGAAGTCAGCTATTACTGCCTGCAACTGAAAGATACAATACCGATACTGGCTAGCCAGGTCTGGAATTTAATACTTCAAGTCAATAGATTATATTCCCTAACCTTGAGACCACTCATATAAAGTCCCAGCACTGGTGTGACCAGTTCATTTTTCTTTCTCGCCTTTTGCAGATGTTTCACTTGTGCTCCCAGCAGGTATGTCAGTAGCTGACCTAGCTGGTCACTTGAGTCTCTTCCCCAAACTTCTCTTTTTTTGTTCTGAAAACATTGAAAACAACCCTATACCTGCACTATTATATTTATTGTGACTTGTGTGGGTGGATCAAAGGAGCCGGGCATACTTTATATAACTGCCTGTTCTGTATGGCCAATATTGAACATTCAATAACAACAATAATGAACTTGCAGCAGTGTCGTTGACGAAAACTGTGCTGTAGAGGCTGTAGAGGCGCAGGGGGCCCCTGGTAGAAGCAAGCGATGGCAGAGGTGACCACACCCCTACATTCAGCTCTCTGTGTCGCTCCTGTGGCGGCAAGCGAGACCGCGGCATACAATGACCGGTCAAACGGCCCAGCGACCTATAAAACGAGTTTCTCTGAGGGAAAAAGAGCCACCATCACGACCTTGTTCGATTGCGGTAGCCTCGAGAACAGAGAACTTGCCCAAGAAGCTAGCGAGTGAGCACGTGCGCATGGGAGTCGTCACATTATCTCTACTGGAGGTTGACGACAGCTATATACAAAGTAACAGTAAAACACATAATGTGCGTCCTCTCGTTCTATACATGACTTATGGGAACTTGGGTTGTGGTATCGAGACCCACACACCCCTCGTTCCTGTAAATCACGTATAGAACTCTAAACGCACATTATCTAAATTATACACACACATACATACATGCATACGTGCACACATTTTGGCTCAGTGTTTTGGTTATATCTGTCTGTGGCATAGGAGCACTCACTCCCTAATCAACACCCAATTTGCTTTCCTTATAGGGAATTCTGGCATTGGTAGGTTTATATATGTTCTACTCCCCCTACTAGGACATGCCACCCAGAGTAAACCTATATGTGACCTCCTACGGAAAACGTACATTTTCGAGCAAATAATGTTTTTTAGCTATGCAAGTGTATAGCCAAAAATTGATGGTTTTTGCAAATATACAGGGGGAAACTATAACCTAGCGTCTACCTTTCTGCATTGGAGCAAAGTCGATCTACCGCTCGTAGCGCCAGCAGCATCCCCTCATAGTTGTGAGCATTGCCTCCGCGTGTATTGCGTCATAGAGATTCTGCCATTTGCCCATGGCGGGTCACATATATAATATTCACATGGACCTATATAGTCAAACCTGAGTTTGATGTGGGAAGTGTCAAACAAGGGTGGGTGGGTGGGTGGGGTTGTATAAGAGGGGATACAGCAGAGCACACAAAATAAGGACACTTTTAGATTTCAGAGGTGTCCTGATTTCAGGATGTCCACATTAATGGGTTACACACACACACCATGTATGTATAATACCTCCGCAACAGCCAGAAAGGTGTATATACGTTGTTGCAGAAACTATATGTTTGCATACCTGGAGGGATCAGCAGTTGGACAGGATCGAGCGTCGAAAATTTCGAAGGAGAACATTGTGAACTCTGTGCTTTGTTGCAGGAACTATGTTCGCATACAATCTGGAGCAATCTGCAGTCGCCACTCGGACAGGAACTAGATGCGAATAACCAGTGAGTTATTATGTGGGAAGGAATGTATATATGACCGTTTATAAACTACAGTTTATATACTTTTCTTTCTGTCAGTGAGTGAAGTGAGCTTACACTCTGGTCCGAATTGTAAAATGCATGTATACATACCCACTATAATAAGTGTACGTCGTGATCTTTATTGAGCAGAGTCTGCCCACTTATATACATACAGGTTGGTGTTAAGGAGTTAAGTGGAACAGGGGAGGGAGTTGGAATAACATTAAACCACAGTAAGTTCATTGTTACAGGGTGACACAGGTCTGTTGCGAAACTTTTCTATACACACTACATAATTATTTATAAAAGTTGGTGAGCAAAGTCAGCATACTTACGTATTGTTTATACTGGTTGTTGCACAGTGGACGGTGGAACAGGGGATGGAGTTGGAATAACATTAAACCACACAGTCAAAAGTTAGCTGTATATATGTCCCTTAAGAAAAGCATGCCGTAAGTGAAGCTATAATTATATATAAACTTTTACACAATGACTTCTGGGTCCAAGTGAGCCCGAATGGACTTTAGTTTTCCACCGCATAATGTATACTGTTGTTGAAAAGTTTTCAATGACATCATTCAATGTTAATATACAATGACCACTGTTGTTGAAGTTTCAGAATATTACATTCATGCCCATGAATGCGTGCAGCGCAACCACAGTCTCTGCCAGTCCTTCCCCAGAAAATGGGAACTCTTCACCTATTCTCATGGAAATAACCCATTTCCCCTCCCCATTATTTTTTTGCCTCTGCCACCACAAGTGTTATCTGTGGAATAAAAGATGTTTGGTTAGTTTGGTTCAATTAGAGTGAAGCAAGCCCACCTACATAGGCATCTTATAATCTGTAATGGTCAACATACCATAATGTTTACGTGATTCTAAAAGTGCACTAAAACCACGAAATATTGAAATGCTCACAACTACTGTCGGCACTGGCAAGCCAAGGAGATCACACAGTTTGTATATATATACAGCAAGAAATAGAGAAGGGAAAACATACCTGCCCTGCCTCGCTGTAAACTCCAAGAGCTTTGTTCGGTTGGCTATTGTTATGTTCCCTCAGTGACGGATCGATGTAATGTTTAATTCTTTTTAGTTGAAGTGTAAGCAAATAAAATAGCAGCTGCCCAATCTGGGAATTCCGAACTGTCTGGCCCCCTATTTCAGTGTTTGACCGAGCTCTCCACCCCTTCACCCTAATCTTCTCCATCCTCGTCAAACGTTTCTTCATCTGTGTGTATATATATATTATTCATAATATTATACATACTTTATGTGACCATGCATGTGGAAATGTAGTCAAGTCGCTAAAAATTTCTTTTTCGAGATTTCAACAGATATTAGGTCCGGGGTATTTGTTGCACCTTCACTAAAAAATAGCCCATTCCGTTCAGGAGTTATGAGGAGTTATGGCCGTGTTTGTAGGAAACCATAAAATTATACTCATCATGCGTAGAGCAATTTTTCCATTCTACATTGCAGAGGTGTCTCTTCCTTTGAGAAAAAAGAAAAATCCACATTATTCACTCGGGCGCCTGTAAACATTAATTTCTCGAATTTGACTTATACTATATACATTTCCCCGTGAACAGTCACATATATAGCAGACAGGTTTGTGTGTGTGTGCAGACAATACCTCTCCAATAACTAAATATATGTGGGGGTCCTTTACTAGTTGCACCGTCAGATCTGGTGCACCCTGTGGATGATAAGCAAATGCACCTATAATTACGTTTATTGCTAGCCATTTCTGTGATTTGTGGCACGCATGAAGCTGCTCTAGCTCTAAAAAATAGGTCGAATTAGAGTGAATTGTTTTTCACATACACAGTAACACATGCATGCATGAGTCTCAATATTCTCACCAGTAATTGCTCGTTATCAGTAGTTCCCTCTTGAATTTCTAAGTCTGGTTCACTTCTGAATAAAAATGAAAAGCACTAAGTGACAACCCTTATATAGCACGAATGTGCATGAGTGTAATTGCGCATATTGTCGTGTGAAATGCACATGCCAATCTCATGCATCGAAAATTTGCCCACACCACGCAGCTACACACTTCAGTGTCACTTTCTTGCACTAACATGGGCTAATTGCATCACTGGGTAGTGTAGTGGGTAGTGGTAGTAGGCAGTTTATGTAAGTCTGCTATAACAAAGGTCAACATAAACAGATTAGGTCAAACCTGTTAGTGGTGCCTGGGAGCTCCTCCAGGGCTGGTTGGGTTAGGGGCCTTGGGCTACAAGGTAACATAGGCAGTGTATGTAAGTCTGCTATATCAAAGGTCAACAAACAGATTAGGTCAAACCTGTTAGTGGTGCTGGAGAGCTCCTCCAGGGCTGGTTGCCTTGGGCTACAAGGTAACATAGGCAGTTTATGTAAGTCTGCTATATCAAAGGTCAACATAAACAGATTAGGTCAAACCTGTTAGTGGTGCTGGAGAGCTCCTCCAGGGCTGGTTGCCTTGGGCTACAAGGTAACATAGGCAGTGTATGTATATAAGTCTGCTATATCAAAGGTCAACATAAACAGATCAAACCTGTTAGTGGTGCTGGAGAGCTCCTCCAGGGCTGGTTGGGTTAGACTACAAGGTAACAAATAGGCATTTGTATGGTCTTTCCCACTCACAAAGAGCACTCTCACCTATCATCACTGGGTATCTCTAAAAAATGTTTAACCCCAACCGTCACCATCAGCCCAGATTCCTCAGCAGTTAGAGGAGTAGTGCTAAAAAAAGTATATTCTAATCATGAAACCCAGTGTGTGCACAATATTTTTTTAGTTAACAGTGGAACTCCTCTCTAAGGACACCTCTGAAATGCACGTGGACACCTTGTATGTATAGAAAAAGGAAAAACATCATCGATGCAATACCACTGAAATAAGGACACTTCGCATATATTGACTTCCCATTGGTGTCCTGATTAAAGGGGCTCCGCTGTATACACAATCTAGACACTCACAGGCTGAGACGCACAAAGTGCTTGGTGCACAGCATTGATCTCGCAATGGAAACCAACTCCCACAAGAAAATCTTTACTCGTCCATTGCTGAACCCATTCAGCAGGCACGTTTGGGCACTTGTGCCCAGTGCACACAGCCTTTCATCCTGAAAAGAAAATGTATATGTATCATGGCACATGGCATAAGACATCACTAGCACAGCAAGAGTGACCCAGTCTTAAGCAGTTTCCCAGCCCTTAAAGGGAATGGCTATACCCTAGCGCACTAGAATACAATAGGAGATGTTTAAACCACACTCTTTGTTAGTGGATCAGCAAGCCAATTGGCTATGCATATCAATTAAGCCTAGAAGGCTAAAGAGAGCCTAGGAAGAACGGTTTACACAGGCACCACATACTTTACTTATGGGACATATATACAGCTAACATTTTGACTGATACAGGTTTAAGGATACTATCAGAATTGGAAAGTTGTGAGGATTCCAATGGTTAAAAAGGTATGGGCGCTATGCGCCCTTGGGTCGCGTGCTTTGTATAGTATACGTACCTATTGGGCATGATTTATGTATTACATACAGACAATTTTTTGAGGGCCCAGGTGAAGTCAAATATACTTTTATCTACAGTAGTGGTGTGTGGCCAGGCCATACAAAAGGGGGCCATGTGGGTCTATCTTTTACAAAGAAAAGCTCCATTGCGACTTACAATCTTCTCCAAATCGACAGTAACTAGCCCCTCCCAGTTGAGAGCACGTATAGCCGCAACCACCCCCATCCTGGCAAGTTTCTCCTGGCAGACTTCGCAGCATTCCACTCTCGCACCATCATGAACCGCCTCCACATCGACAGTCACTACCACATCATTTGTAAACAGAGGGTGGAATGTGCTACTCCCAATCCACTTCAAAAATGCCGATAAGTAACGGTAGCTGTCACTGGCCTTGGTTTTACCTATAAAATTATAGGACACACTTCATTATAGCCATGTATTATCCTTTGTTAACTCATTGTGCGCGTTAATGCGCATGCGCGGAATTAACGCATACGCGTGGTTTTTTCGAGTTCACGCGTGCCGTTTTGTTCGCGTGTTGAAGGGAGGCCACGTTTCCATGGCAGATCTGCATTCATCGCTCTTACATGCGTACTATATGCTCGGAAGGTGGGGCAGCTGCTGCGCACACCAGCCCCGCCTTTTATTTTGTACATGCGCAAACTGTGCGCCCACTCAAAGGTCAAAAGTATAGCAAGGTCTAGGTTGTGCCAGCGAGTAGCGACGGCAACTAGGATGAAGAGAGAAGTGAGTATTCCTGTGCATCTATATATATATATCCAGATCGCGTTGGCTAACATCCGCGTAACGAATCTATACATAGATCTGCCGCGCGTAATGGCATACATTCTCCATCATTAGGTGAATCTTTTTTGAGAAAGTGCAGAGAGACTGTTTTCTGCAAAGAAGCACAGCACTACAGCCAGCCCACCTTAAACGCTATACGTATCACAGTATATAACACAATTACTGTATATATATGGGAAACCAATCAATTTTTAAGAACCCTAATGCAGTAGTGTGTGGGAGTTTTGTTTGCTAACTAGTTCAATGACGAGGTTGTATTACCAGCAGCCCAGCTATCACAGAGAATGTTGTTCAAGTACGACATAGTAAATTCAGGGGTCGTGCCCACAGAATAATACTGGAGGAATGCAACATGTTTTTCACACGTAATTATATACATAGAATAATGTAATTATTACGTGCGGCAGTGCAGGTCACAACATTATGTGTGTATATACTTTGGCATTCAGACAACTACTTGGGCTCACTTCGCTTACTATTTACAGATATAAATATACAAGCACTCACGAATATTCCCAGTGTTTCTCCCCTCGCTCTCTGTGGTTGTACAGGAGGAGGATGATTGAGAAACTGCATCATCAGAGCAGAGCCTCTTGTGGCACAACTCTTCCAGACTTGGTGCCTCTGACGCTGTTCTTTTTCTAGAATACATGCTACAAGGAGGGGTAGAATTAGTGTCCTCTTCACTCAATAGAGAGAGCTTTTCATTAAGCGAGCAAATAACACTAACACTGACCAACTGTTAAACTGTAGGAATTTAGGTTTCAATCACAATTTTACTGAAACATACATACAAAAGGGAGGGAAAGGGACAGTGAAGGCTACAGCTACTCTCTACAAAAGGGAGGGTTCACCAACTTTGTTTTTGCATTGGATATTGGGTTTGGGACTGGACACTCAGTTTGCAACAGTCTTACCACAGGCCACAAAGCTGACACACACATACACCTCAAACATCCAATTACAGGATAGGGCCTCCTTTTCACTAGGATTACAACCAGCTATACACACCACAGGGGCAAGCCAGAGCTATATACTTACAGACACAAAAACAAGAAATAAACTTACACACACAGGAGATCAGCTGAAATGGAGGCCAGCCAGCAACACTACAAACTCCAAAATCTTCTCCACAGTCTTCTCAAGCCTGTGTGTTTATGTATATATATAGAGAGAGGGACAGTGAAGACTACAGCTACTCTGTGCAAATGGGAGGGTTTACCAACTCCATTCTTTTGGGTTAGGGACTGACACTCTTTTGCATCACAGGCCACAAAGCTGACACACACACCCTAACAGCCTCAAACATCCAATTACAAGATAGGGCATCCCTTTTCACTAGAACTAGAACTACAACCAGCTATACACACCACAGGGGCCTATATACTTAAAGACACAAAAACAAGAAATAAACTTACACACACAGGAGATCTGCTGAAAGGGAGGCCAGCCAGCAACACCACAAACTCCAGTCTTCTCCACAGTCTTCTAAAGCCTGTGCGTTTATGTATATATAGAGAGAGGGACAGTGAAGACTACAGCTACTCTGTGCAAATGGGAGGGTTTACCAACTCTGTTCTTTTGGGTTAGGGACTTGACACTCTTTTGCATCACAGGCCACAAAGCTGACACACACACAATCCCCACACACACCCTAACAGCCTCAAACATCCAAGATAGGGCACCCCTTTTCACTAGAACTACAACCAGCTATGCACACACAGGGGCAAGCCAGAGCTGTATCCCCAGCTTAAAAAGACACAAAAACAAGAAATAAACTTACACACGCAGGAGATCAGCTCCAAGGGATCAACAACACAACAAGAGCCTTCTCAAGCCTGCGTGTTTATATATGTATATATAATATACAAAAGGGAGGGAAAGAGAGGGACAGTTAAGACTACACTACATCTACTCTGTGCAAATGGAAGGGTTTCCGGTAACACAAAATAAACTTACACACAGATTCTTCCGTAGCGTGTGACGAACAAAATCTGGAGGGGCTAGAGGCCTGGATCCCGGCGCGGCAGAACAGCGACAGAAATCGGTGGCGCGGCGGTACAAAAAGACGCCGACGCCGCGCCGCTCGAGCCGCGCAGACGCGATGAACCAGCGCGGCCCCGCGATTCGCAATCAATGCGCGCCACGCCGCCTCACACGTGCCGCGCCGCCGCCGCCGCAACTCGGCCGTTTGCGCGGCGCCGCGCCGCGCCAACAGCGCATGCACAACTAATTGCGCACGCGCACGCTCGCATGATGTGTGCTCATGCGCCAGATGCAGACGTCATCGTCGCGGGCATTTTAAAAATTAGCGTGCCTCCTCTCGCGCTCTACTCGTGCGTATTTGTATACAACAGTTTTAGTTCATTAGTTAGAGTCGGAGATGGAGCACTTATTATTCAAGACCATGTCTGCTGTCCATTTTCAAAATGACACTTCTTCAAAATATTATTTTTCTTGGTATATACAATACATTTTTTCACTTCTGAGCTAGTAATAAATCTAGTGCAACCTATAAGCTCTGTGTACTTTCCTTCTAAGAGACATACCTCAAAACATTTGCTGCTATACTTAGAGTTTGATAGCAACACCTGGTAATATCAAACACATTTTTAAAATCCTTATGAACTCATAAAAGACTAAAAACTATAGTAACAATTGTTGTAGAAGAGGAGAGGGCTAACATTAAAAAAACACTTCAAAAATATACCACTCTATTAATGACTACATAATAATTTTATCGTGAGATTAAACAAATTCTTTGTGGTAAAAGACTAAGCGGTTTTAATGGAAACTAACTGAAGAATTAAAGTATTAGCAATTTAAGTTGCTTAAAGAAAGTTTTAAACCAAAACCTTATAAGACACCAATGTTATAATGATTTGCATAAGGTAGGTTTATGTGGACCTGGATGGCTGGGTGCAC